ACGAAGGTCATAAAGGTCATAAACGATATTAATTTTGGAACATCAACATATTATGTAAACTGTATGTTGCTGTTATTGGTATTTTAAAGAAAAAATACTGTAAAATCCTGAGTTCGGTACAGTGATTCAGGCATTCATGTGAAGGACAACAGAGCTTTCACTGGCTCAAAAAGACAAAAAGACAAAAAGAATAACTGACACAGCGTGAGCCTGCATTCTCTCCTCAGCCGTCCACACCACACTTTTCCCTGGGTCAGAGATTAAATAAAATTGAACTCGCACCAAACAAATTACCACACACTGAACACTGAACATGTTAACCCAAATATGTCTAACAATACTTTTATGGTACATTACTTTGCTAAAATGTATTTAAAAATAAAAATGATTACAAACGCCAGCAGAGAGGGAGACACACACACAGTTCTTCATTGTCAAAAAGTAACTGTTTCTTACTTTGTCAGCACCCAGACAAACGCAAACGCGTTATTAATGAAATGCTTTTATTCATTCTTAATCGAACTCACAAGTTGTCATCTGCTGTTGAAGCTCTGTGAGACTAGACTCACACATGGCTAGACTTGACTCGGCTCTGGCTTTCCCATCTATACCGATGCACTGGAAGTACAACCCCCCTCTCTGAGGGAGTGCTGGCTGTGACAAATTAAACCAGTTTCACAGGTATTTTCAAAGCAAAAGGGGGCGAGATTTCCTGCGAAAGACACCTCCCCCCCTCCAAGTACAGTACTTACTAGTTAAGAAAGCTAGGCTCCTCAATGAAATTGCTTTAACATGCTAATGCATTGGTGTAACAGTCCGGGCGTGGCAAGCTTCTAATGTCTCCCGACTACGTCGAAAGGAACCCTTCTTTCATTGGAAGACAATGAACATATTCTACCCGTACATGAGAATATAATCTGGCGTGTGGGTGCGGTGGGGTGCTGTACCAGCTGTAAAAAAAAAGTTGTTGTTTTTTTAAGTCAATTGAGTGTCCATAATATTGCAGTAAGACCACGGGCATTCTTCCTCCCCCTACATTCTCAGAGTAGAATAGAATTTTCCTTTGACAAAACAAGGCTCGCCAGATAATGTGAATCGAAACCTGTTTTTCTAGCTTTTAAAGTCGTGCGATGTGTAAGCAGGAACACATCATTATATCTTACATATGAAAAATACATAATATAGCTCCCAAA